CATTTGTTTAGAACCTGAGTAAAATTTCGATTAGTCTAAATAGCGCTCCGGTTAGCGTGAAATCAAATAAAAGTGTTTTCGGTTCGATTCGTTACAGGCTACACTGTAAAATACGATTCACTAAACTCGATGACAACGCTAACTTGACCTATTGAATTCTTAAGAACCGGAAAGTTCGCAAACTGAACTAGGAAAACGGAAATTTCTTGGGTTAACATCTTCCACTAAATGTGAATCAGGAAGTTTCACACCGTTGTCGTGCAATGGCGCAGCGGCAAAGAAATTTGCAAAAAAAAAATGTGATTCAATGCAAAGTTGTTGTTTTGCTTATTGAACCTGTTTCTTTTTTGCATTGCTCGTTGAGGCGTCGCCGTCGTCGGACCTTAAAATGACAGAGAAAAGTTACCAAAGAAAATTGTGTATTATATAGAAACTGCACATGAAATAAACTAAGAAGACCTTTCCTTACAAAGCTACTCAGTTTTTTTAATTTAATTGAAACAATAAATGACAGGTATTCATAACTACTGAAAATAAATGAAAATATTGTCAATCTATGCTAAAAATAATTTACGTAATTGACAAAAAAGCTTTTAAAAAGGACGCCTCGAGCTATTGAAAATGTTGTCAACGAGCCAAATACTGTCGAACCTTCTTCCTTTCCGATCACCTCTCGATCACATGTAAGTCTCTACCCTCATAACTCGCGTAAGGGACCACCTGTCAATATACTGAAAGTTTATGAAATCAACACTTTAGCCGAAACTTCTTGTTAGAGCTTTTATTTTAGAGTTACTATTTGAAAATTGAGGGGGTTTTAGCCTATCGTGAGCGACCTTCTTGAGCGAAAATTAGAACAACTAGCTGTCAGCTGAGATTATCATATTGCCACCGGACAGTTATGACTTGGCACTCACGTTCCGCCCGCACGTTCACTTTATTCCTGAAAACGGAAATTTTTCCTCCTGTTTGGCCTATTGTAACTGAGTGTCCGGTAAAAAAAAGGTCACCATAACGAGCTTCAGAGTAGAGATTTTTAAAAACATCGGCTTTCCGTGAACTTGTGGGCGGACGAAAAAAGAGGTTGTAGTACCAGTATACGGTTCATGAATCATTTACATACTACTACCCCTAACTACTCTATCGTATTTCCATCGTTTTTTTGCGTTTTATGTTGACGGGCGAAAACGATTCCAATACGCAACGTGTGGTCGAGTATTTTTTCGCAACCGTTTTTAGAAATATCCGGATACATGTGGACACCCTCAATGTAACCAGTTACTTTATAAAGTCCAAAAAAGAATACTTTTAGCTGAAATGATGTTAAACGAGATATAGATACTGTCAAACCTTCCTCTTTCCCATCCCTTTCGGGCGTAAGAGTCTACCTAGCCTGAGAAAACAGCCGTCATTTCACGACGTCACAACTGGTTTCCCCGCGAAATGACGTCTGAGAAATGAGCGCAGAAATTCCATACTGATGACGCGTCACTATCCAGATCTGGGTAGTGCTTCTGATTGGTTGAAGCAAATTTCCCACGCGGCACGACCAATCAGAAGCACTACCCAGATCTGGGTAGTGACGCGTCATCAGTATGGAATTTCTGCGCTCGTCTCTCAGACGTCATTTCGCGGGGAAACCAGTGGTAGAGTCATGAAATGTCGGCTGTTTTATCAGGCTAGAGCCTCCTAGTTACTGTAATTCGCGTAAGCAATACTTTTCAAATAAAAATACCAGAAGTTTTGAAATAAAGTCGCTTAAGTCGGAATCTCTCGTTAGAGCTTTTTGAGATGCTACATGAAAAATTGTGTATTGTTTTATCCTATCGTGAGCGACCACTTGATAAATATCTTCTTAATTAAGCGAAAATTAGAGAGACCGGTTGTCAGCTGACTATCAGATTGTCAACAGTATTCCAAGGGATGGTTAAACATAGAAGGCCATTGGACAGTTATGAGTTGGTTTTCAATGTAACGTTTAAAACGTCTAGAAATGCTTTTAGCTGATACACTTCATCCATTTTGCAAAACAGAATGACCGCACGCAACAGTATCAATTATACCGAGGTAAAAGAGTTTAAATCGACACAACGTTCGTCATACTTGATCAAAGTTTGAGGAAAGTATTCTGTCCTTGGTTCCGTCTCAGTTCCGCATCACAAGTTCCACGAAAAAGGTACGTACCAACGCAACCAGAGTTCATTTGGTCATTAATCGTTTTAAAAATGGGTCATTCCTCAAAAGAGTCACTCGATTTGCTTTAAATCTTGGAGACCTTCTCTTAGAAAAAATTTCAAAGGCTAGAGAACCATACATTACAGTTACATTGTAGACTTCAATTCCTCAACCCCTAAGTCCGGTTAAGTTGGCAATTGAACTCTAAAGAAACTCCCGCACTTCCTTCTATCAAAGCCCATTATTTTTTTTCAGTTTGGCATGACTTATTTTCCTGTCTCTTCATAGTCACTGAGTCGGATTAAGGACGCAAAGCGGTTTTTCCACCAGGCCCAAGTTGTTCAAGACCTGGACAGCGCTATCCAACGGAAAATAACTATTCTGTGGATAAGAATTAGGAACTGAAATCAATTGCTTTATCTACTGGATAGTGAATTATCCGACGGATAGCGCTATCCACCTTTAAAACAACTGAAGCCAGGATCTTTGCGCGCTTGAAATACACCAGCTAGGCAGTTGATCGTCGACACACCCACATTACAAGATTATAATATTCCCCAAAAAGCTGAAAAAGTGAATGAAATGTAACTGGAAGCTAAAAACGGTGACTGGCGTTGAAAAATAATAAGCGGGAATACTGAGCTGATTTTCCTTTCTGAGTGAAAATTCATCTGAAAGAATAAACATATTGTTTTTTCTCTTGCAGTAAGCAATGAATACCAAGTTTCCTTTGCGCCTGCCTCTGATTATCCTGGCGATCGTTTATGTGCATGGTGCAACATGTCCTAAAAACCCCTTATACACTCGACATGTCAAACGCAGTGAGTTTTCGCAGTTTTTCAGTGAAGCCCTTAACAATAAAAAAACTTACGTTTCTAAAATTTAAATGGTGGTGTACTCAAGCCTGTAGATATAATCTCTCATTTCAATTTGATCACGTTTACATGATTTATTCAATTAGGCAAACCGGTTAACTAGGGGGTTGGCCACGAAAACGTCTCAAAGTTAATGATACATCAGATTCGATTCTCTGGCGTGGAGGCTAATTAAAAGTGTACTAAAGCCACACACAATACATAAGTTTATTCAAAGGCAACTTAAGAGGTTGGCCCTATTTAATGATACACGTGATTCTCTGAAGCTATACCCCCCCTGAAAGCAGAGAATTTTGGATGATGTTGCACCCGTTTGCAGAGGCTTAACAGTTAAAAAGATATTAATGTTTTGTTGTGTTTTGTTTGTATAACAGCGACTTGTGCAGAGGTTCGTGGACGTTGTGTTAATATGGATTCAGCGTATGGTCTTTGTAGATATGATCACTGTCCTGCTTTCACTTATCCAGCTGGTAAAGTGTGCTGGTAAGCGAGTGTAATACCATAGAACATTTAGCCTGTTCTACGCGTTCAGAGAGTAGGAAGGACGGTGGAAATTTGACGACGAAAAAATAGGGCGGAAAAGGGTTCCCTCGCTCTCGCCCCAGTCCTTTCAGCTCGAAGATATTAGCTCGCTAGCTACTCTAAAAATTCGGGTGAAAATAAAGCTTATGTTATGTTGTTGAACTGCCCTCGGCCGTATCGACTTTCGGGCGAATGAACCTGTGAAAGGATTATAATCATAAAGCTCCGTATCGGTACGCGCCACAGTTTAATGGTGTATGCTCTTGGTAAAAACGTCTTTTTCTTTTCAGGACTCACCCGGCTCGAAAATGATATCTGTGCCCCCAAATTATTGAAATGATGGCCATGACAGAATGATAAAATTACAGATAAAATAAACGCTTACGTAACCAATAAATGAAAACGGTCAGGACTAAACTGTAACAAGAGAAAATCATTTTTCTTGGTTGTAACCTCAGCAAACTTAATATTTAAAAAAAAAAACATTATAATTAAAACAATGTAAAGGGAAAATGAATAAAGGTTAAGTCATTTAAATGTGATTCTTTTGTCTTCACCCTTCCATCATTGTCTAAAATGGAAGCAAATATGTAATAAAGAAAAAACAAAAGAAAAGCAAGATGATGGTTTGTATGAATGGGTCACTCATGGAAGGCGAAACGCAGGTTTGCTTGTAGGCGCATATGATATGAAAAGTAGGAGACGGCCCCTAGAGAGCTTAAATTTTGATCAAATATCCAAATTTCATTTTGTGAAATTTTGAAAAACAAATAGCACCAGGTGGAAGTACAGGAAGAGAGCTTTCATTTGAATGGTCACATCATAGGATTTCGTCCGCAGACTCAAAAGTAAGAGTTACCTTACAAAACTCCATCAAGTACTCTGGCAGTGAAAGGGTTAAACTGAGCAAGGATTTGAAGACGCGTAATAAACCATTCATGCAGCTATACCTGGGATCAATTTAACACAAAACAATAGCAACACTTGTGAAAGTTTTATTAAATTGACCCCTGTTTTCTGCAAAGGAATATGAAAAGCTTTAACAATACAGAATTTGAACAGGCTTCAGAGTGACCTTTTTTAGCCAAATCACAATCAATCGTGAAGCTAAAATAATCCGACTGAAATAGAAGCAATCGATATAGCTTTGAAAATATTAATGTTTGTTGAGCAATGGCGCGAGTCGAAGTACGTGAAGGGGAAGACGGCCCGGGGAGAGATACAAGGGCGTTCGCGCCCGATCGAGGATCATTAGTCCTTGATACTTTTGCTCGTATCGCTACAACCTCGTTCCCAGGTTCTCTCTACTACCCCTGGGAACGAGGTTGGTATGGCTACCCCCTTCAGTAGACTCCATCCTCTCCCCCACCCCCACCCCCAACCCCCTTTCGTTCTTGTTTTAAGATCAACACCTTAAAATCTGTTAAACTAAACATCCTTCATTTCAGCTGTATTGACGTAAAACGGCTCGTCATCAGCACTGACAAAGGCAGCGTTGTTGAAAGAAAATCGGGATTCTCGTTGAAGCTCGTCCATGTCGGCATAAACGTGAGAATCATCCTGGGAAATTCCTTGTTCCACATGACGTTTAAGATTCTGATAGTTAACGTAAAATGGTTCGACGTCATTGTCACCCTCATTGTCATTGTCAATATTGGAATAAATCTCGTCATTGATGTCTTGATCATTTTGCTCTTTTAAGTTAGCATTAGCATCGTGCATTGGGTGATTCGTATTTTTACGAGAACTTTTTGGCCATTGGCTCGATATTGAGGAATCTCCGACGACCTCGTAGCTCTCTTCTACCTCTGCTTCCTCTTTCGTACCAGCTTGACAATGATTTACTGAGACATCCTTGCCTTTCTTGTCATTTTCATTTTCGCCAAGAACATTTTTATTGCCATCTTCATCAAAATCCTGATTGGTTCCCTTCCTCAAAAGCTCCAGTTCAGAATGTTGGGCAGCACCTGGCTGGATCCTGCAATCCGGCTGTTCTTGCTCTTTTCTCACCTGCATCGGCTCAATATGATTATTATCAGGCAAGGCGGGGTAACCCTTTGATTTGCGTTTTTCTTTGGGTTGTTTTTTGGCTCTAGGTTTCCGTTTCTTCACCTGTTTGGTTGCATTTGGAAGAAGGATCTGAGCCTCGTCCTCCTGACGAGGGACCATAATATCCACTTCAAGATGGCCATTCGTAAATTTAGCACTCTCCGATATCCCGGATGTTATCTTTTCTGAAAGATGTTCATCACCAATGATTTCATTAGCGCCGTTCTTTGCCCTCTCAGGTTGGTCAAGATTGGCTGTCGATTCTAAATTTTTCTCGCTAGTCGACTTTTCCTTTGATTCCCTTGCATCGGTCTCCATTGAAAGACTTTGCTGCTCATGAAACGTTTCATCTTCAAGCCATTCTTCTTCCCCCGTAGCCGGAAACGAATTATCAACATCAATAAGTACAAGTGAACTCTCCTTCACTGGCGACGATTTTTCGCAAAGATCTAAGTAGTCGCGCATGCTTCTGAAGGCTTTTTGTTGGCATTTCCTTTCAACAGGATTTTCACCGGATAAAAACAGCACTGATGGGCTATCAACAACTGCCTTTATGCCAGAGGAATCATTCAGGTTCTCAAGGTTTTCTGGCTCCTTTAAAGTGAAAACATCGGCTGAATATTCTTGAGTCTCAGGTGTATCCTCTAACACAGGTTTCTTATCATCTCCCTCCTGGTCTCCCTGTGAATAAGCAAATGTTCTGTTGATGCTTTTCCACGACTTTTCGGCGTCGGAATTAACAGCTCGCTTGTTTGATATTACCAAGGGAAATGAAAAAACGCTGTCGGCTTTAATTTCAGGTGAATTTTCTCTTTCTGGTGGTGTTACATCCACAGCTGCTTTGAAATAAATGCTCAAATCCTTGTATGTTTTCTCGGCTTCTTTTTGTATCTTCCTGACCCAAATGAAAAGAAACAGTACGACTAGCCACAGCAGAGATAAAATGCACAATAAGACCACGGAGAGTTTAAAAACAGATTCTCCATCACAGGGAATTCCAGTACTCATTTTCCACAAAGTTGGTCTCACATCTAATGGAAAAATAATGATAAACGTGATGTTCACTATACAAAATACTTTTCAAATGTGACTCCAGTAGACCAAGGAGTTGGAGCAACATTCCTGAGGGGGGAGGGGATAGTTTGAGCCAAAACCTCCGGGGGGGTTACTCCCTATAATGGCCCATACGGGGAGGCTCCGCCCGAAAGGGGTACATTTTTCAGGCTTCAGGTGTATGAAAGGGTAGGGATTTCACTCGTTGAAGTATATGAAATGGTAGGGACATCTGTCATTTGGATCTGTGAAAGGGCCTAAAGGGCCGAACAGATGAATTTTATGGTTTTATTTTTGTGATTAATTCCTATTTAAATGACGATGCATTTACAGCAGTTAAAAGGCATGCAAAGTTCTAAACAAGGAATGTGAATTTGTCGATAGAAGGTATACAAAAGGGCTACCTTTTTCGTGAAAAATGGTGTATAAAAGGGTAAGGGCTTGAACCTCCGGGCGGAGCCTCCCCTTATAAAAATTTGTTGAGTACCCCCCTGGGCCAAAACCATACCGTACAACACTGGTCATGAACGGAATTAACAAGACAAAGCAGTTATGGGTTTTCAGGGTTAAGTGTTAGGAACTGACATGTCCGCAAAAGTAAACGGAAATTATTAAGTAGAAACCCAATTAGGGATAATCCTTAGGTATAAGTGTGCAACAACAAACAAGTCACGGCAAATTTTTTCGTGCATTGTACATCTGTCCTTCCAAAGCCACACAGTCATGCAAGACAGACATACTTCTTTGAAGTAATTTGCGGATTTAACGCTTATTTGGCGAGAAAATTGTGAAATAATTATCTCTAAATGGGATTAAACGGTAAAGACAACATTTATTTGGACGGTTTGTATTCCAAATAAGGCTATCTCTCTGGAATCTCTGTCTGCCTTTCTATCTCTAAATGCAGTTAAGGAAAGGTTGTCTGTTCTTAGATCATGTGCGCGATGGAAAAAACAGCAGACTAAATGGAGCCCGGTTAATCTGTTTGCAAATCCATTATTGGAATTTTCGATTCCTTTTTGTTGAATGAAGTTTACATAGAGACACTATTTCACGAACATTAAACAAACTGAATTTCTTTTCAAAAAGCATTTTGGCCATCTGAGGTGATCATAAGCTTTAACAATGGTTACCCTTTTCTTGGGGAGAGATGAAAAACGAGCTCCCCTAAAAACGCCTGCGTGGGAGGCTACCCCTTTCACGATCTTTTTGTATCTCTTCCGGAGATCACCGAGTGCGCATATCACCAGAACACCTCAGGAGATTTCTTGACCGCTTTCATCATGTGCAGTGAGGTGGGGATGGGTGAGAAAGTAGATTCAGATCAATTTAGATTTGCCCACCTACCCCTCCCCTAAGTCAACATTGACACTTAGTTCTCCCTCAGGGCAAAATGGTGGCTTAGGGGAGGGGTAGGTGGGGAGGTTACCAGAAACCTAAATCCGTAGTTTCTTTCTCTTTAAAGATTCTGATCAGCACCGAGAAATGTCAGTATGCGGAAGTTTCCATATGCAACAGAAACCACAATTGTAAAATGAGGATATACAAAATTCACATTGTCCCATCTCTTGTATTTAGCCGATCTATCCCTGATATAACGGAAATATAGTTATGAGCGAGTACTCAGCAAATGGTCAGTAAACGAAATGAAAATTTCCTTAATTCTGTTGTAGCAAACGGGGAAGATTAAAGAATACCAACAATAGAAAAAATTACGCAAATTTGTTTTGTCGAACCTATATTTTTCTGTCATACTGTGCTTAAGGGCTGAGTCTGGTTTTCAAATTTGCCTACAATCAAACGCGACATGAGTGCTGCCTTAACACAACCCATCAAACCTACGCGCCCTGAGTTCCTATGTTTTGGTTATCGTGTCGTCTTTCCGCGGTTCACGGTGTTCGATTGAAAAACGCAACAGTTTCAAATGGGCACCGAATGTAATTATTTGAAATGAGTACATTTGAAATACGTTGGAAATCGTGACGAATGATACTAACCTTTTTGTAATCTCGTACTTGCTTGTACTTGAGGAAAGAGACAGAAATAGAAACCCCAAAACAACGTCCCCGATCGTTGTTCGAAATGCGTCAAATTACACGTCAAAGCGGACGAACTTCATTTCTGGGTCGCAAGGTCAATTTCTCTTTCCTTTCGCGCGCGCGCCCCTGGGGTTCTCGCGCGTCCGAATTTCTTAAACCTGAAAAACCTGAGTTAGACCTAACCCCTTTGATTTCAATACTCAGCATCAAAGCGTTCAATTTTATTTTAATTTCTATTTCTAAAAAAAGGGTAATATTCAGTTCGAAAATTCAGCTAGCCCAGGCCTGAGAAACAAGCGCAGAAATTCCATACTGATGACGCGTCACTATCCAGATCTGAGTAGCAATTTTAACATAGAATGGGCTTTTATTTTGTTCTGTTTCTTTTTTTTAGAAATCGAAGCGTAACAGTCTAGTTTGTTTTTTAGCGCATTTGCCGAGTATTTCATACCCCGTGAACTATGAACACCGAGGACTGTTGTTAGTTGGGCTAGCCCCGAGCAAGAAAACGAGAGCATGTTGCTCTAATTTTCTACTGTACGCCTACTCACAATAACTCAGTTCTATCCCTGGAGCTGCCAAATCGCTGCTTAAGAAAAACTATGGAACATATGGTACAGGTAAGCGAAATAATACAATAACATTACAATGAAGCAACCTTACTTAAATTAAGCGTTGAAAAAACTTACAAGCGTAGAAAAAAATAAATATTTTACAGGCTATATTTAACGGCTGGTGGTGAAACGTTTCCGATCGCCGGGAAGCAAGTCGACGCATGCGTGATTTACTCCCAATTGGCTGGTCAAACAAAGTTCACGAAAGTTGTTCTATTTTTGTTCTTGTTACGATAGCGAGCTTGCACTCGATACTGTTTGTTATTAACACAGATAAAAAAAATACAGGTACTTTATCTAGCTGTTTGTGAAAGGCGCTTATCGCCATCTTTGCAGAAAAATACTACTAATATCCCAACCTGCCAGAGCAGCGAAATTGTAGCACATACTTGAACGGCTGTTTGGAAATTGGCGCCGGCCCCGACGTCCCGGCAGGTCTGTTTACCCGTGAAATAAGACATTACTGTACATTTGTTTATTTGCGTAATCGGGCGCTAATCGTCAAAGGCTGGATTTTTCTTACCATGGGGGGATTGTCTTAGAAGCTCGTTACTGTTCTCATAATAAGGGGTCTTGTCAGAATACTGGACGTTTAGAGTTGTTTCCAAGTCCCTTTTTTGGTTTTGGTAAATTACTTCAGGCTTTACACAAACAGTTTTGTCCAAGCTGCTTTTGTTGTCCCCTTCACGGATGCTCTCGTAAAATTCTTCAGAAACACTCTGGCGGTTCTTCTGAGGCTCTGCCTTAGTTGCGCAAGCCAATTTGTCTTTATCATCACCATCTTCCCCTCGAGATTTCGATTCTTCTCCGCTTATTAGAATGAGATAATCATTCTCTTTTTCATCGCAAGAAATCCTTTTCTCGTCTTCGGTGTTTTTGTTGGCTCGTAGAGGCACTTGTGGAATGGCGACACTACCTTGGGGACCTTTTGATTCCTTTAGTACCCGAGGATTAACATAATCATAATACAATTGTGCGCCATCTTTTACACTACTAGTAGCTCTTACGTTGTCTTGTCTTTCCGATGTACTCACAGACGTGGATTTATTTTCGCCTTCCGTTTGATTTTCCCGTGATTTTTCTCCCGGTACACAGTCGATGGGAGTAAGGTATTCAGAATCATCTCCTTGGCGAGGCTTCGACATTTCGGCGCGATGCGATACTCCTGACGGGGTATCGGAAGCAATGACCGCAAGGTACTCATTCTCATAGTCAGCCTGTGTTGTATCCATTTCAACGTATTCTTCTTGATCATCTTTTAAGCCTTTTTCTTTACCTTTCTTAATATTATTCTGTGCATCAGTCACTGGTGTTCCTTCATATAGTTTTGCGTAGCATGCATCGGTTTGACACTTAAGGCTCTTGTAAATTTTTCTTTTTACGCTTGTCGCATCATCACCAGGTGATCCTACGAAGGAATTTAGTCCTTCTGGAGGCCCGTCTTCTGACGCTAAAGCCAAGTTTTCTGACCCGTTTACTAGATCTCTTTCTTGAGCATACCCGGCATCAACTGAAGTTCTGTCTACATCACTTTCGTTCACTGGCAAATCTGAGTATGAACTTGGACTAATTTGCGGCATTCGCAAAAAAGTTCCTGTCCTTACAGCTTCCATTGCCTTGTTTACTCGACGCTGAATCTTGCATAGCCATAAAGTGATGAAAAGAATAAACAGCCACAAAACGGATAAACTAGACAACAGTCCCAGTGCACACTTGAATAGAATATCATTATCAGGTATGTCAACTCGAAACGGCATTTTGCGTATTCAGAAAAATCTAAAGAAAGCAAGTAAAACAATGTTCTCATTAGTACAATGACCGGTTTTTACCGATGGGGGGGGGCGGGTAGTGGAGAAGGCGCCCCATCTCATCTCCCTAAGACTATCCCTGAGTGAATTGCACCGCGGATGAGATGTGTACTCACCAGCCGAATGAATGAGCATGACTCAGCTGCCAAACCTATTCTATATGAGGAGTAGGAAGTCTTTAATAAAGTCAATATTGCATTACGCTGAATGTTAACTTGATAGTGATATAAATAAGCCACTTGCATTCCAGACCCTTACGTTTGTATATTGGATTTTCGTTCGGCCAATAACACATTTGCTTGAAGCCAGAAAGGAAGAGGAGAATATCGATCACTCAGTTCCTCGTACAAATATGAAGTCACGTCTTGCATTCAATGACTTTCAAAATGGCACTCCTGGAAATCTTACCCGTTGCTATGTGACGTCATACTGGAATGCGGGGTGGGTGGGTCAAGAAATGCTCAGTCGGAAAAAATAAAGTAGCCCCCTCCTTC